TGAGGTTTTTGTTATTCGACCAAAACCCGACGTAAAATTATTTATTTCTTTACAAAACATCGTCCAACTCTTAACTAAAAAACTTTACATTAGCTTCAAAATCTTGTTTCTCTCTTTTGTTATTTTTGATATATATATATATATATCTGATTGTCATCAACATTTTAAATATCAAACGAAAAATAAAATAAAACAATCACCAATTCTAAAGCTTTCTTTAAAAAAAAAAAAAAACAAAATAAAAAAGTGAAAGCATAGTGTTAAAAATTATTTCTCAAGATTTTGTCCTTCTTAAAATTTCATTTCTTTTCAATGATTATTTTTCTAATCATAAAATTTCTTAACCGCGCCAATACTAAACAAAACAAGTTAAAGTTATTTTTCCAAACAACAGAGACATCTACAATAAGTATACAAAATAAATAAGCAAAAAATGAGCGGGACTTCACGCAAAATACAATATTTTTAATGAAAACAAAAGTTTTATAATAAAAACTTACAACTTTTCTTATACTCTTATTTAAAAAATAAAAAAAGCGTATATAAGCTAACGCAATTTACGCGATATCCGTTATACCAATTGTTGATACCCAAAATATACAAGGACTATATAAAAACAGCAATATTTCCTTTAAGGCAACCAACTGTTATTCTAAATATTTTAACTAAAATCAAAACTCTTAAAAATTTCAAATCTTTATATGTGGTGTTTAGCTCTCTAGGATATGTTCTCAAAGCTCTTAATTTTATTTTACTTGTATATAACAATATTTTCCTTATTAATAAATGTAAAATAGCTTCTAAAATTCTACTATAGAGTAATTTTAAGAGGATTTTATTTTGATTTTCTTTTATTTTACTCTTATATTTTCTAACAAACACCTTTCATTTTTTTATACATAAATAGTAGACATAAACATTTACACAAATACATATGAAATTTTATAATATCTCAAGAGAAATCGCACTCTAAAAAGTCCATAGAGACTTTTACTTTCGATTTCAATGGGGAATCATCACAAAAATAAGAAAAAAAGCAAAAAGCATCTTCAAAAAAACAAAAAAGCGAGAGCCAATATTTACGCACACATTCATTTATTTTTATTTTATTCTTATTTTTTAATAATCAGCAGCATATTTTTGTTTACTTTTATTTAGCTTTTTGTAAAGTATAATTTTAGCTCTCAAGGAATATCATATATAAAAGATCCTTTGTGTGAGAGTCCATCTTGTTTATTGTTACTGTTACTGTTTAATTTTTTGCTCAATAAATAAATGAGAAATTCAACAATTTATAAAGTAATATGAAAAAAATAAAAGAGAAATTTTTGAAAAAAATAAATACCGACGGGTGAAACGCAATATGGGGGTGAGAATTTTTTAAGAGGTTCATGTATACAGGGTCTATTTGATAAATTTTTTATTAATATTTGATTTCGTAATCGGATTTGAATATTTAAGATAAATTTAGTATAATAAAATTTAAAGTTGAATTTGTAAAGGAGTAAATTGCATATCTTTGGGGGCTTTCTCATAACAATCGCATAAATATTGGTAAAATTGGAAAATTTTAAAGAAAAAAAAATGTAGTCTAAATTTTCTTTAGAAGATTTTGAGTCACAATTTACACGCCTTCGGGCACCATCTTAATGAATTTTGTTTTGTTTGAAAATTTTAATAAAACTTTCATGAAAAAATAGAGTGCCATCCAAATTCTGAGGTAATTAAACAAAATTCACAAAAAATTTTTGCGTCGCCTCAAAACTTTTACTATTACAACTTAATGCAAGAATAAATTTTGAAATTTGGTCTAAGCAAAATATTGCGGCTGGCTCAAAAATCGTCAAACAATATAAACTGGTTTGATGGTTTTGCTTTTTATGGAAAAATAAAAAAGCAATAAGTTCTTGTATAGAGAAACCTCTTTTGCTAAAAGATTTCACAGGTTTGTTTGGTTTGTAAATTGAAATATAGATGGCATTTAATGTAACGACAAATGTTTGAATTGTTAACACTGAATTTAAGTTAAATGTTTTATCCTTTTTTAGTTGTTCTCTTTTTATTTGTACAATAATAAAAAAACAAAATAAAATGTTATTTAATGGTGGGTATTGTTAGTCGGTAATATACATATACATTCGCGGTAGTAAGTAAAGATAAGAGTATAAATGTAAGTATCAAAAAAGTTCTTTTTCACGCAGTTGTGATAATTTAACTTCTCTCATGATGTCAAAGGTCGAACAATACATACTCTTATATAACAGTAATATGTGCATAACTATGATGTATTTTATATATTCATTTGTTTGTATAAATAATAGCATATGAGTTGGTATTTACTTCGGTATGCAGATATATGAGTAAGTTTGTAAATAAATGAATAATTTACTTTAGTTTCCTTATAATAATGAAGGTGCTAAAGTTACTTCTATAACCATAATTATGATGAAATTTATTAACTTTTAGTAATGATTTGGTTAAAGTTTGATTTGAAGTAATTATTTATTTTTAAAAATTTATTTGATAGGAAAGTGTTCGATCTTACACAATTTCAATTTTCAAAGGGAAATCTGGTAGATGTAATTGCGAAGAATTTTTTTCGGAATCCAGAGTATTCTAAACGTTACAGTAGTAATTGAGTGTATGTTCTAATAAACGACGAAAATTGCAGCAGTTACAATAAGCTGTTACACCTATAATATATTATAAGCTATAACAATATAGCTATTAATATAAAGAAAATATTATAGAACGCGGAAATTTCCCTTCTTTTTAATTGCTATCGAAATTCTTTCTTTCAAGTGATTGAAATTAATATTTACTTTAAAATTTGCTTTAATTTTCAAACTCTAATATTCGCATAGAATTTTAATATTATACATTTTCCTTTTGTAATTAATTATCTTTAATTTGAGCGAGCCTATGTTGTTTAATATTCTATTTTAATTCAAAATTAAAATTTGACTTTCTAATCCTACTGGTTTAAAGAGTTCAAACGAACTAAGGGGAATTATATATTAAATCAAAACTATTTGAGACTTAGAGGAGTTCGAAATTTAATTTACCGAAAATTGAAAGAAAAACCCTTCAAAATTTCATATATTTACAGGTCACGTTCTCGTTCATTTTAAAGTTGCCCAAATATTTATGCAAGGTATAAAAATGAGTTATTCTATTTTTTTCACTGTTAAATTTATTTGTCTAGTATTTAAATTTAACTGCAGAATTGTTAAAGAGAACTCTTTACGTTTAAAAAAAGAATTTGTACATTTCATACTTAGCGACGGTGTTACACTTTTTCCAACTTTATCAATATTTTCAGAAATTTGTAAATTATATTAAAGATCATTTTTAAATTACATTTTGAATTGATTCTTTAATAAATTTTGTTTGATTCAATAAACTGGACAAATAGGGTTAACAGATTTATTCAAACTTTATGAATTATTTTATTAGTAGAACTATTTTTATAAAAAGGTTTTAAATGTGCTCCAATATTATGCCAGTAAAAAGCGTTGACATTCATTCTTTTAACCCTAATATTCACTCGCCATTTGAATGACAACTATATGAAAATTTTATTGGTAACACGATATCTAAGATCTTAAAATAAACCTACAAAATGAGAGTATAAAATTTAAAATTCTGAAAGATTTTTATTGGAAACGTATTCGAACTTACGCGCAGTTTAATATGACTAAATCAAATTTGACAAACTTATAAGAATCTTGTTACAGTATTACGTGTATTACAAATAATTTACACATTCTCATTTATATACACGCACAAAGCTTATGTGTACAAATTTTATTTATATATATATTTAAAAATATCATAAGCTTTGTAGATTGCCGGTCCAAAACATTCAACAATATTACTTTCAATTTTTTGTAAGTTGAAAAATCACACAAAAAGTTTAGTAAAACAGAGAGAAAAAAAAACCGAGTAAGAGAAACGCAGGAAAATATCCTTAAAATAAGGATAAAAAAATATACCGTTACAATACTTTTTCTTCTTAGCTTTTTTTATAACCAATAATTTTTTGTTATGGTGTCCTCATATTTTTTTAACGTTGTTCTATGTTACTTGTTTTCTGTTCCTTTATTTGTGCCTTTTTTTTTTTATTTTATTTATTTTTGTACACACCATTGAGAATGTGATTATTATACCAAAACGTTTTTTGAATTTTTTATTGATATTTTTAACTGTTTACAGCTTTCACCATCAAAATAATAATGAAAGCCAACAAATTTGAGTTACAAAAATATATGAAAATGAAACAAAAAATCAACAAGATAGTACAAAATAGCAAGTCCATAAAAACAATAACAACTGACAAGGATAAGGAAAAGAATAATGAAAACTTAAGTTATAAGAGTAGAGAAGGGACCAGGAAGCCTAAGAAACGATAATAACAATTCAAGTTATTTTCGACTCTTCTATAAAAATTGTAACCGTATTTTATACGTTGTTATTATAAATGAAGTGGTCATAGGTAATAATCATAAAATCTAACTTCTTCTTTCATAACGGAACAAAAAAAATGGAACGAGCAGAATAAAGTGAAAGGATAACGTCATATAATATTGGAAAAGGATTCCACGACTTTAATAAAAATTTGACAAAAAAAAACCAATAATATGTAGAGGAAATTTCGTTTTGTTGTTTTTTTTTCTGTTGTCTTTTTTTTTTCTAAAGCCAGACAGAATATTAAATTTTTAATACACACTTTATATTTTCCGTATATTTTATTTTAAATATTTGTTTGATAACTACTAATAAAATTTGTAAGAAAATGCACAAGATAGAGAGAAAAAGAGTGAGAGAAAGACTATTTCCTTCACCTAAAAATTCGTACCATAAGAATTAAACAAATTTTCTTAAAATGTCAAAAAGTCCACCTTCTCATTCTCTTTAATTGAGAAGACAAAACGAGTAAGAAATCAAGTTTACTATCCTGGCAATAAAACAAAAAAAAAAAAATAAATTTATTTTCTTACTTTGTTTGATCAGGTGGTTGCATCCATGCTCTAGCACCTAATGGTTCCTCTTTTAATGATGTCATCGGTCCACGTGGTTGATTTAAATCTGTACCAGTTGGTAATCCAAACATAAGACCACCAGCTGCACGTGGACCACCAGATGGATATAATTTTCTGCCCCATTCTAATTCTAATGTGGGCCATGGTGATGCCGAGCTAAAGCCCGGCACTGGTTCGTCTGAACGCAGATTGAAGCTGTTTTCTTGGCACGCGGTTAAAAAAATTTTGAAAAATTTTTATTTTACCCGTTTCACAAAAGAAAAATAAATTACAAAAATTTTGTTTTTGATTGTTTTAATTACAAAAATTAAAGTGACGCGTCTTTGATCTTAAATTTTTTTTTTTCAAAATTTTTTAATATTTCTTTTAAAAAAAAAATATTCTTTTTTTTTTCTGAGAAAATTAAAAAATTTTAAGTTTTTTGAAAATTTTCAATTTTTACTGTTACTCTATGTTTGTTCTCTTTTCTTCTTTTTTAACTAAACGGTACTAATAAATTAATTGTTATAAACCAATTAAATGTTAAACTGACATCATAGTTGGCGCTGCAGTTGCGGTATTTTTACTTGTTTTTTTTTTTGTTTTTTATTACAAACTTACAAGTATTGCTAAAGCACAAATATGTACGTACGTGTGTGTTTGTATAAAATATATTTTTATTTTTTTTAATAATTTTTTTTTTATTAAACAGAAAATAATACGAAAGTGTTATTTTATTGCATTTAACAATTTTTTTTGTTTTATTTTATTTTTTTACATTTATTTTTATTTCTTGATTTCCTTATAAACTTATTTTTCTATTGAGTACCACCGCGTATTTTATTGAATTTTTCACAAAAAAAAATTAAATTCAAGTTTGATGTATAATGTGCACTATTGACATGTGACACAAGTATATATACGAATATCTACATCAACATGTGTGAACATGTATGTATATTAATTCTTATACAGTTTCTTTAAAACTGGTTTTTATTTCGTTAATCTTTATTTCACTTATTTGTAAACGATTGCATAGATTAAATTTATTTTTTTTTACCGCGTACTTTATAGAAAAGTTGCTATTTATTTTTATTATTTTTTATTTTTATTAAATTTTAATTTCAAAAATTAATTTTATTTCAATATTTTATAATTTTACTATTTTGGTGATTATTTAAAATTTTCTGATAAAATTCTGATTATAGAATGTAGATATGTGTGTGTTTAAGATTTTTCTAAAATTTTAAATAAAATTAATAATTTAATTAAGAATATTCAAAAATTAAAATTTCAGAAGAGAAAAAAATCAAAATTTGAAAATTAAATTGTATCTTAGGAGTTGACAATTAAAAGAATTATGAGAACGATTTTTTTTTGACAATTTCTAATTTTAAATTTAAATTTTAATTAAAATTAATTATTTAATTAATAAATTTTTTAATTAATAAATTCAAATTTTTAAACATTTCGAATTTTTTTTATAGAAATCCAAAAAAAAATTTTTACGCTAATAAAAAATGTAAGAAGAGCTATTAAAAAAATAAAAAAAAATAAGAAGAACAGAATTAAGGCAAAGGTATTTGAAAATAATAACGGTAAAATTAGAAAATTCTAAATGACGTCTGAGAAGAGACAAAAAAGATCATAAATTAAAAATGAGATCAAAAAAAAAATTCTTCTTCCTATTTTGAATTTTTCTTTATTATTTATTTTGACATTGACGTTTTGTCATTTAATTTTGAATTTTTATTGTATTTTTGGTATGACAAACAAATAAAAATGTTAATATGATTTTCACCTTTTCGAAAACTCTCCGGTGAGATTTCAAATAATAACAAAATTCAGAAAAAAACAAAAATATTTTGATATTTTTTGTTTTTTTTTCTCAAATTTTTTTCAAAAAAAAAAAAAAATTTTTTTTTATAATAAGAAAAATTTAATTTTTGTTTTTTCTTATTTTTATTATTTTGATTTTTTTTTTCTTATTTTTGTTTTTATTATTATATTTTGGGTACAAGTAAGAAGCGAAAAAACCAATTTGATTTTTTTTTTTGTTACAATATTTTTATTATAAATTTTTTTTATATTATTACAAAAATTAGGTATCGAAATGTTTTTCGTCAATCCCGAGTGGCTGTAAAACCCCAACTGAAATCCCGTAGCGACACACGTTATATTACACCGTCGAGCATCGACTGAAAATCATTATACAAAATTGTAACTGCCTTCGCGCCTTCTTTTCATCATATCCATTCAATTATTGTTATTATTATACACATTGTATATGTACACACATTAAATCAACTGACTGTATTTTTATATATAAAATACAACAATAATAAAAAGGCAAAAAAAGGCATTAAAGCAAAGAAAAAATGAAGAAAAATAAAACAACAAATACAATGCTATACAAATTTTCCCGTACTGAATGTTTGGCCAACATACAAAACATATAATAGGCATAACAATGTATTGGTTTTTATAAAAGAATACCACTAACACATAGAAAATAGAATATACAATAGAATATACAATGAAAAGAGGAAGGTAAATTAAAATATAAAATACAAATATACAACACCTCTGTATAGTTTTTCATATACTGTTATACAATGTTTTAGTTTATTGTTACTGCTATACTCATTCAATTCAAAGTATAATCAAAATAATAATATCGGCCCCTTTTTTTTTCTTTTTTTTTAATTATTTCTGTTTTATTAAATTTTTTTATTCATTATTATTATAGTTGTTAAAATAAAATTATTATGTTAAACTGTTAAAAATGAGAAAAAATATTTTTATAAAATATAACAGTATTTAACAGTTTATTGCATTAGCACTTTGATATTTTGTGCAATTACATTGTGTGTGTTAAAAAAAAGGTTGTTTAATAATGTGCATTGACTCATAAAGAAAATAAAATCATTATGAATTGTATATGAAATATAGTGTATATTAACTGTTATATTATATTTAAAATATAAAACTTTATAAATAATGCTTTAATATGTTTAGAAATTAATAATTATAACGAAATTATAAGTCATTTTTTTTAGGTCAGATTTTAAGAAAATGCGTAATCAATAAATTTTGTATGCTATTCCAGAATATCTTGATATACATAACTCTTTTACAATAAGAGTATAAATTTTAAGATTTATACATTTAATTTATATAATAAGAATATAAATATAAGTTAAAAGAATATAAATTTTATTTTATATTAAAATTAAATGGAAAACTTTATATGAATATTTATTAAAACTGTTATACAATTTATAATATAAGTAATTATTATAAAACTTTTATAATAATTGTTACACACAATATTTAACATTATTCTTCTTATTAAAACTTTTATATAAAAATTGTTACATATAGTTAACATTATTCTTGTTTATTAAAACTGTTATATAAAAATTTCTTATTGCCCATATGTTAAAACATATGTTTAAATTTAATTTAACATTTGCCTGTATGTTCAATAATATTATAAAAGAATTTATATAACATAACATTTCAATCTGTTACTAAAATATACTCTGGTAACGGTAAAAAATAAATAAATGTTTTAATAATGTTATTTTTCTTTTATATGCACACATACATATAGAGTATAACAATATTGATATATATATATGTAACTCGTTGACATAATGATAGTAACAGCTTCTTAGTGCAATAACAGATTATTAGTAACAAAATATGCATAAAGACTTTTAGTCATGCGGTGTCATTAGACTAAAACTGAAAGGTAGAAACAAAAAATATTTGAAAAAAAAGAAAAGCAATAATTATATAACACTTTAATAAAGACAATGATAAATTATAAGAAAACTAAAATGAAATTTTTTAAAATTCAATTGAAAAATTTTATTTGTAAGTGTGTGTAAATATGTAAGTTTTTCATGAATATATATGCATTTATTTAAGTATGTATAAGTGTTTTATGTTTCAGTATATTTTAGTGCACATTTTAACATTTTAGTTATATGAATTTTTCTTTGGGGCCTTTAGTGCCATTTATTCTTGTATTCATTTTATTGGAATAATTCATAAAAGTGGGTGGGATAGTTTTGTTTTTTTTTTATTTCTATTATTCTTCTTTTCATTTAAATATAACAGTTATTTTTTAAGATACTATGTTTTTTGATATATTTCATTCATTTCTGTTTATGTGTTAGTTATTATAACGGTACAAGTGAATTAAATCGAATAATAATTCACAATGGAATTATGCATATTTATTTGTACGTATATATATAGATTTAGACACGTTTTTTTTATTTTATTTTGCAAGTATTTAATTTTTATTTTTTTTTTTTTATATAATATTAAAATAATAAAGGTCATTTACGATATGGGATTTAGTAAAAACTAAAAATAAAACATGGTGTTTTTCTCAGTTTAATTTTTTAATAAATTATCAATAAATAAAAAAAAAACTAGAGGTCTACATTCAATCGCTCCTAGATATTTACGTCCTCTGATAGTGAGAAGAATTTAAAAAAATTATTTCACAAATTTAGGAATGATTTTGTCATAAAATCAAATTGGTTTCCTCCTTAATTCGAACCGTACTCTGTATATAGGTTGTTTTATATATAGCCTCTGTATATAGGCTCAGCGGTTGTTGAGTACTGCAAAATAGTATGTTTAAGCCTTAATTCAATTAAACTACTGCAGATATGGTTTGAGAAATTCTAAAATTTCAATATGCGTAAGGGCTTTATTCAAATCAAGTTCAGCTAGAGAACATTAAAAAAATTGTGAAAAATGCAACAGATACCAATGCTCTTCATTCGAATAATCTTTTTATTGTTTAACAAAACGTAATCACCGCCTGAAATAAAATAATTGTTATACATATTACACTTGCCTGTCAGTAGCATTTTATTTACAATTTTCATGTTTGAGAAAATTCTTTACTTATAATTACATTAATCATAACTTTTAGATGGTTGTGACCTAAAAATAAATCAGTTTCTGTTATATTATTTAAATTATATAACACATTAAATATATAACATATTAAATAACTATTTAAATTATATATAACACAAATTGTCAATATAATTTTTTCAAATCATATTTTTACCTAAAAAAAAATTTTCAAAAAAATTTAATATTTACCTAGATAATCTGTTATATAAATACAAACCAAAAACAAGATATTTTTGTTTAAATTCAACAAATAATTTTGTCATAGTTCCCAGGGACTTTTAAATAAAATTTTCCAATTGGGAATTTGAATTTCAATAACCCTTTGTCGAAAAAAAACATTTTACAATATTTACCCACTTTTTCATTTTATTGTTCTTGTTTTTTTTTCTTTTTTGTGTGTAAATTCAAAAAATCCTTCCTTGTAAAACAAAGTTAATTTTTTTTTTACATGATTTTTAAATTTTTTTCAAAAAATTGCCAGACCTGTTGAAATTTTCATAAACAAAGTAAATACATATAAAATTTTTTTGTTATATTTTTCAATTGCATATATAAAAGTCATAAATATAACGGTAAATTATTATTTTTACCTATATACTTATATTTACATATAAAATATTCACTCATACTTTCATAAATCTTATAGGTATTAAAAAAGGATGTAATATGTCTGTTAAGGAAACCAATTTTAAATTGTATAACAGTTGAATTTTTAATATTGCACTTGTGTATAACAGTTTACTACTACACATCCACTAAAATAAGTAATACAACCGCAATGTTTATATAAAAAGTGCATAAATACATGCAAAATCATAATATATTTTTTTTTTACTTTTCTGATAGTTTACAAACACATTTACATTTCGAGAACAATAATAATTTTAAGAGCCTTACATACATAACATGCATTGTATTTCGAAAAAAAATTGATGGTATACGCAAAATCCCAATTGTCATGTCAAAAAATACTTATTTTACTATTGTGATTTTATTTCTTTTATTCTCTCTTTCTTTCATTCATTGTTTCTTCTTATCCCTTTCAATTTACATCTTTATATTTATGTACTTATATCTTATTCAGTCTATCTTTTATATATTTTATTGTTATATTTTACTTATTCATATATAGGCTGAGATATTTACATTTTTTCTTATTCTGTTATACTTTTAATGTATATAAGATTTGTGAACGTATATAAGATTTAAGTGAAGGTAAAGATTGTTCGCATTTGATCGTATTGTATAATATTAGATGGGATTTTATTTTGTTTTCCTTATTGAATACGTATTTACATACATATACATTTAAACTGTACGATATTTATATACATACATAGATAATAATATTAAAGTATTTATATATGGCGGAAAATGTAAGTATATAAAAATATTAATGTCACCGCCTTTAATTACCAATGGGCATGTCTTTATAATTTACCATTCCCAAACGATTATATTTTTCTGCAATATTTTAATTGGATCTCATAATCATTTTTAATGCCCATGCGGTAACTATATGTATATAAGTATGTATATAAAATATATATATGTATTAATAACAAAAATATAATATCGATATACATGTTTTATATTTGAGAAATTTATTTTGTATATTTATTTTTGTAGCATATTATTAATGAAGAATCATAAAATTGAATTTAAGAAGAAAAAAATTTTTTTTTCTCAAATTTTATTTTAAGATTTTGTTTCCATGCATATTGGGGCTATTATTGAATGCCGATGATACTGCATTTCATTAAAAATGAATAATATTTCGACAATATTAATTTTTGAACTTTCAAATAATTTTTAATTCAGAATGCTATTGCAAAGGAAATATTATTGCAATAGAAAATAAATTTGGTAATGGCTATACAGTAGAAAATATAAGCAAAAGTAAGTGGTTTTTATGGCAAT